CAGTAGTTATCAGCCTTCTCCTTAGCACAAATCCCAAAATCCTCCTCTTACTAGCTACTATGAAGTTAACTCTGTCCCAGCTGAAACCAGGACATAACCACAACAGTACCTGTTGTAATACACACAGAAGCAAACTACAAAAACTGCTTTCATCAGTATTACACTGAACAACTTAAGAATTTCTGGGAAGTGAAATCTCCCTGACTTAATTTCTACAGTCTACAACACACTTGTTTTGCTTGCTTTTATTCCTGATTAAATAACAAATCCCCAAACCCAAATGCAATCTGTGATAAAATAGACATCTGAGAAAATTAAATTGGAAATGGCAGAGAACAGCATACAGTTTCAGAATGCTTTGCACATTGTTGGGTTTTTTGGGATGCTTTTTGGTTGGTTGGGCTTTTTTGGCTTTTTTTTAAAAAAAAGAATGTATGATTTGAAAATGTCATATATTAAGTTTGATGACTGGCAATGGTCCTCTGGATCATCTTTCCTACATTTCTTCATATGAAAATGGACACTTCTATTTTTTTGTGTACTGCTGAAAGTAAATAAGCAAAGATGAGCTGTAAGAGACCATGAGGAAACCAGCAGCATGACAAAATGCTCTGGAATGTTTTCCAGCTCTGTCAGCTATATCATTTCTCAAGTTAATGTGCAAGATGGAGAAGAAACAAAAACAAAACTAGATTCAGTGAAAAATAAAAGGAAAAAATTAATGCCTGAAAATACTTGCTTCATAATTGTGCAACTGTCTAAAAGCAAACCTAAAATGAAGTTCTACTAGGTGAGAGCGTTAAAATTATTGGATCAATACAGATATTATTAGGAAAGGAAATGCAAGGGAGATTGTGGTGGACTTTAATCTTGCTGTCCAATATTCATCTATTCTTTGTCAGGACCCACTTTCAGACCAATGCACCTACATGCTGAAGGCTACTTCTGAGAAGGAAAGCCCAAGTTCAATGTAATCTCATAAATACTTTAAAAATTGCACAGTTCCTTCCACAAAACCTCTACAAAAGGCTCAGCAGAAGTTATGATGTAGAGGTTTAGAACAGGCCAACAATGGGCCATCCTTGTAAGAGTGCAACCCTTAAAACTCTGGACTTCTGTGGGACTTCTACTCCTAACTTGATATATGCTATTGAAAATTCTATCCGATATGTACGAGACAAATAAAGACACGGACTTAGTTGTGAGAGGCTTATACGTAGGTAAATGTATACTTACCGATAATATTGTTAAAGAAAGAGAAACAAAACAGGTGATCTATATTAAGAGCCAAAGACCAAATACACATATTCACCTGCTGCTGGATAGAAATTAATCTTCAAAGCCTGCTCAAACTTATTGAAAACAATGACACTGTTACCTTATCTGCTCTGACTACAGTGTACTAAAGAGACTGTTCTGGATTCTATCACTTTCCTCAAAAAAAAGAAAGATAATTCAGAACAAAGCCAAGCTGCATCAATTATACCACTTAATGACCGGTACACTTTCCTCAGCTGTGGTCTCTCAGTTTAGAGAAAACCCTGTCATTCTTATGCTAGGGGAGAGTAAAGGTTGTTTGCAACTCAGTCAGATTCATAACACATCCCTCACCATCTTACAGTCATCCTGTTCCATGTTTCAAAGAGAGCTGGCATGACTAGCACGAAGGAAGGTGAAGGAAGCATATGTTAATACACACTTATAGGTGTCTCCTCACCATACAGCTTTGAGAAGAATGAAGTATTTTACTTCTGTTGACTCAAGGAGCAGCCTACAATTCAGTGAGGATTAATACTAAGAATCTCAAAAACTGTGGCTGTCTAGTAGCATTCCTTTCTACAGTTACCAGATTTTAACATAGCCCCACTCACTCTAAATAGGACCACGTGCACAAAAAGGAATAGCATGAAAGTGGTCATGCAACAGCGGAAATAAGAGCAGTGGGTAAGCTCACTTGTAACCCAAGAAGGTAACAAGCACTGGAGAGTTCAAACAGCCAGAACTTCAGCTTTCTCAGCTTCTGTAACACCTCTAGGTCAAGCCCGAGCAGAAGGGAAAGCGTTAACAGGTGCCTCTCCACCCAGCAGCCAGAGCCACGAAGGTCAGCCACGAAGAGAACATGGCCCAGCTCAGCTAGAGCTGCCACTGAACTTCAGGGGCAGTAAAAGCTCGGGCTCTAGGGCACATCTTGCTCTAATTTCAGCTCCTCTAGGTCCTAATTCCTCAATACAGTGAGAAAATAGAGATTTTTGCTTTATTTATAAACCTTGCCTTTTAGATTAATGGTTACATTAGCCTCAGAGAACTTTTTACTTTTCCTTTTAATGTTTAAAAAACCCAAACAACTATTTTTGTTGTTTTGTTTTTTTGGTTTTGGTTGGGTTTTTTTTTTTGTTTGGTTGTTTTTTTAAATGAAGTATAAGCCTACTTTGGTCATGCCATGGCGTGGATTCACATAGAGTTCCTCCTGGAACAACTTCCCCTGAAGAGACCAAATGTCTTTTAAAACTCTAAAAAAGTCACATTTGATTAGAATAAAAATCTGAACACTCACCTTTTCAAACAGAAGACTCTCCAAGTAACTAGATCAAAGAAATAAAACTGGTTTAGAAACCACTCCCCTCCACAGCCCATATGCCTGCAGGGGGATCCTTACTCCTCCTTCACTCCATGTCTTCATGAAGGCTGGCAATCTTCAGAACACACTCTGCTCTGCTCTGCTCTGCTCTGCTCTGCTCTGCCCTGCCCTCCCCTCCCTTCCCTTCCCCTCCCCAGGGCTCTCCCAGCATCTAGCTAAGGCTCTTGCAGCAACACTGAATCCGGCCCCAGCCCATGAACTCTCTGAAAGTTCATCCCAAAACAGCTCACTTACTCCACTGGGAACGAGCGATCCCCAGTGCACCTGAGGCTTCGTGACCCAATTACTCTTCTCTTTACAGATGCAGCACTTACAGAAAACCCACTGGTAACTGCTACCGTCAGGTGTGCTAAGGTGACAGGTGAGCTGAGAGGGAGGCTGGGCTGATTTCAGTCTCCTAAATTTCAAAGGACAATTTTGAGTGACTTAAGTCACCTATTCCATCCTTACAGTGAGGCTGGCCTCCTGCACTCAAGGGAATGGAAGATCTACATCTACTTGTCCACAGAAAAGAGGGAGAGAAAGAATAAGAATACACAAAAGAAAGCCTGTGTTAATAACACCAAAGCTATTCAACCAGAGGGGAGAAGAAAGGAGTCCTGGTTCTGCAGCTGCTTATGCATTTTCCATTTATGAATAATTTGGTAACATGTACAATGTTAGGTTCTTAAGCAGCTTCAGCAGAAGAGAAAGGAAACAGCTTTCCATTACATCTCCCTCCATACTGTCTGTGCAGCAGAGCTTATTGTGCCCTCCCAGGGCTCATGCAATTTTTCATCTGTTTATCTACTATCTCCTTTTTTTTCATAAAAAGAAGAATTCTGCTTCCAGGAATAGTAAAAGAGCAAGATTCTAATAGAGAGCATAGTGGGCTGTGGAGAAAGAGTTGAAAGATGGTATAGCATGCACCTGCGTCACATTCACATGTGCTAAAACTAAAACACAGCTGGTCGGTTTAATTTTAGGCCTACTAGCCTTGGCAACATCCCTTTTATCTTCAATGCCTAATTATAAAGCCCTACTGTTAACTGCTTCAGCCCTGAATGCTGTTGTTTCGCTATATCCATGAAATGCATTCAGTAGACTGGCCTTATTTGGCACAGTATTCTAATTCTCCACTCTTTGAGTACATAATCCCTAAACTGTTATTTCTTCATTACCACCTAAAGAATCTAAACTGTAATAAAAGTATTTTTAATGGAGTTCAATAGAACTCAGACCTGAGCAAGACACAGAAAATGATGGGACATATATGAAAGACAAAGAATTAAAACTTGAACTGTCATTTCTAATAATTCCATCTATAATTAACAGGCAGCAAAAAAACACTCAGGTAGTATATTGTTTACTCAGCCTTTTTCATGTTACTCTTTAAAGTGACTGTTACTTATTTTCCTTCTATCAGATAATATGCCGGAATCTCCAAAAAGACAGCAGACTACAAAAAAAAAAAAAAATCTTTGCAGAAACTTCAACTATTGTTTTCTCAGGACAGTGAGAAGAGATGCAAAGTAAAGATCACAAAAACATTAGGATCATTTCTAAAACCTCACTGGCAAAAGGTTTTGTGTCTTTTTAACCTACAATCTATAAAAAGTACTTTTGTAAATATTCTTTTCAAAAGGGAGAACACCATTAAAAACTTCTATCCATAATTCTTAAATTCTGGAGGCCTAATCCACAGGAGGCTATCAGTCCTTTAAGTTTTAGTATCAGCTGAACGGATTTAGTATTACCACCTCCACGAACTGCTTCTAAAGACAAAAATTGCTTTCTTCTCCTTCAAATAAGTTTCTCATAAATATTCTCAAAACCAAGTCACTTCCTTTCAAAACTTTTCTTACAACTCTGTTACCCCTCTGCGTGCAGGCCAGAACACTATCAGTCCCAGCAGTAGTACCAGTCACATTATTTCCTTGTCCATTTCTGCAAGCCTGTTTATATACATCTTTCAGCCTTTGTTTTATATTTTGAAAGCTAATGTCTTGTGGCAGGGTCAAATACTATGCTCTGTTAATACTGTAAACTGTACAGTAACAGTCATAACAAAACAAGGGGGAAAGGGTAAAAGTTAATGAGAATGCTAGATGTAAAATCTTACTCTATCCCGGCAACAAGGTGAAAGAATCAATTCAATACCATTGTGTCTGCATAAAGAAAAAAATTAGGAAGAAACTCACAAAATCTGGTCAGTAACTGTCCAATGCCATTAATTTAATTTCTTTTTCCTATAAATCTACATGAAGGAGACACGTAAGCTTCTCTAGACAATCATCTGAAGACAGAAGCTTTAACAGGAACGTATTTGAAAGCCACTCTCTCTCAGCAATTGTCCTTTCTTTGCATGGAATTCATTACTCACTTAAGCCGAACTCAATTACAGTACCTTCAGGTTTCCCAAAATCCCAGTGCTTCAGTGGTTTTTCAGCTACAACAGGACAAACGCTCACACTTCAGTGAAGAGTATACTCAACTGGCTTTTTAGAGGAGGGTAGGTCTGCTGTATCATCAGCAGTGCTAGTACTGGATCCGGCCACTTCCGATTTTATTTTTCAACTTCAGCTCACAGTACAAAATTTATCATTGACGGTTACAGCTTCAGTGAACCCTTTGCTGATGAAAAAGAATCTCAGTGGGTTCCATGACAGAGGTTTTCTTAAGACTCAGAATGCAATCTTTGTAAACATTTTTCAGCCTTGCACATCACTTCTGACTATAAGCCAGAAAGAGCAAAAGAGCTGCTCGTTACAAGCACAGTTGCATCATACCAATATGAGCTGAAACTACTAAACAGGTTTCTTTATATTTTCAAAGCATACGTGTGAAAAAGATTGTGTGTCAAAGCACCAGAAAGCCTTGAAATTGATGTATTTCTTTTTTTGTGCTAAACGCTAAGGGCAGATACTGATCCATCATCAAGACAAACCCTTGAGAGGGGTTTGGGCTCTCTATTTTTCAAGAGCAAGGGTACTTTGAAGAAAATTTGTTCATCAATGGCGTTGAGACTGCAAGGTTGTCACACTAAGGAGAAAATGGAACAATGCAGAGATACTAAAATTAAAATTAGTTTAGTTGGTGATGGGACATTATAATAGATCTTAGATTAATATCTGAAGGATGATTGACTTAGATGTTTAAGAAAGTGGAAGCTCTGACCCTTTTTCTGCCACTGAAGAAGCTTCAGTATTATATTAACCCTCTTTTCCTCTACATAGTAGTATGCTTACGCTGCAGCTCAGGGAGAATATAAAGGCTAAAGTTTCACCATACAGTCTGTGTCGAATTAGGAACTACCTTCTTCTGTTAGGGGGAAGTCTTACTTCCCTCACCTATAACTTGCTCTCTACTTTTTGATGTACGTTTCTGCCAGTTACCTGGGACAGACCTAACTCTAGAACCTGAATCACATAGGAGGCAAGCTCATTAAAACAAACAAATGTATATTGATATAACTATATTCTTATTTTTATTATTGTTACATACTATTAAATATGCGCAATACAATAAATGATATATTTTATATATTGCTGGTTAATGAACTGTATCAGATCACTTTGAAATCTCTTGTAAGCAGAGAATATGGAATGGAATTGTGCAGCTGGAAGTGGGGGAGGAGGAAGGGGGGGAATGGAGGAAAGGGAAAAAGAAAATAGGATTAAGGCAGAGAGGGAGACCTCAAGGCAAGCTATTAATTCAGTTGAGCTATAACATGAATGTGAACCTTAAGAGAATACCTCTCCTACAGCCTACAAAACTTTCATTATACTTATAGGAGCTTTGTACCTTTGGTCCATTGTCTCACTGGAAAATTTTACTGAAGCTAGCTAACAAGTTTAGAGGTTATTCAGAAAAGAAAACCTAAAGGACACAGTGTGGCCACATGACTCCATTTTTTCTAGGAAATGTTCTTATGAAATACAGTTATGTGGGAGACTGAAGCGTGCTAGTTCATATGTAGAACCAACACTGATCTGATTAAAATGGCTTATTTAAAGATGGAAATAATCAATAAGGTGGAGATGCAGCACTGATATCTGCAGGGAACTCCCTGTCAAACACAGTTAATGAAAGACTAATTTGAAAATGCAGGGAACAAATTCCATATAAGAGAAAGAATGATGTTTAACAGTGAGTTATATACTAACTCATGTTTCATCACTTTACTGCCATTTTCTAGAGTAAAAAATTAAACAATTGACTTCCATCAGTCTTACCCCATGAAATTAAGATGAGAAATGAGGACAAACATATGTACAAAAAGATTATATTATTTCTGCTATAATGACAAGAGTTACTGCCTGGTTTAGTTGGACATGGTTTTTTTTTAAATTTAAGGAAAATGAGAAAAATGTAATAAAATGTTTTGAAAATTTGTCATCATCTTTCAGTCATAGTTGTTATTTATGAATTAATCAAGCATTTCAATTGTAGTTTACCAACACAATTTAATGGAATTGCAGTAAAATATTAGAATATGTTATCTTGCAATGAAGAATGTACAAAGATTAACTATAAGTGATATACCATGCTAATGTCTATTGTCAGAAAAAAAGAAAGAGTTCACTCTGAAATTCAGATATTCAACCACTTATTTTTGTGTATATAGCAAACAAGTATTTTTTCTTTTTAATTGAAAAGCTTACTCCTTAGTATAATGAAATAAAGAGTAGGAGTTACTATGTGTCTCAATATTCCTCCATGCTATTCTGATTTGCCTCTAACAAATGTATAACTGAATATGACTTACCTTGAAGTAGAGCTGCAATTTGGAGGGACTGCTGAGATGGATGTTCTTTAAGAATATCTAAAACTGTTCTACCCAAACTGTCCTTTATGTTGGTATCAATTCCTGAAAAATAAAATGATCTGTGGTGGAATTTTTAACCCCAAGTACTTCTGATTATAAATGTGGTATATCAGACTCAATTATCTGTCAAACTGAAGGCAAGCAGTTTTACAACTGATTAACAGCTGTGCTATAGCTGAAGTACAGCATCCTTTTCTGTTTAAAGCTCGAGTAGCCTAAAATTCACATGCTGACATGGATTGGTTTTATGTTTCTACAACTCATGGGGATATAAAGTAAGCTTCTTAAACCAAACTTGGGATTATTTTAACAGACTGTCCCTAAGAAACAGCCATCCCAAAAATAATATTTTATGAAATCAGTAACTTCTCTGAATGTTTTCCCACATTCCTGGATTCTAATTCTCCCCACACTGTTCTGATTTGTCAGGGATTTTCTAGTCCATAGTAGCAGTATGTGTTTTGGGAGCAATACGGAAAAAGTTATTAACCTGAAAAGTTTTGTACTTCATCTACAACTACCTTAAAATGAGGTTGTAGTGAGGTGGGTGCTGGCCTCTTCTCTAAAGTAACAAGTGATAGGACAAGAGGAAACGGCCTCAAGTTGCACCAGGGGAGGTTTAGGCTAGACATTAGAAAAAATTTCTTCACTGAAAGAGTGATCAGGCATTGGAACAGGCTGCCCAGGGAAGTGGTGGAGTCACCATCCCTGGAGGTGTTCAAGAAACATGTAGATGTGGTGCTTAGGGACATGGTTTAGTGGGTTAGGTGGTGTGGGTTGACGGTTGGACTTGATGATCCTTGAGGTCTTTTTCCAACCTCAATGATTCTATGATTCCATGATTCTACGTTCAAAATTCACGCTCTGAGTAGACTGAAATACCCATATGTAGTATAAGGGCTGTGCAAACAGCCAGAGTATTTCCTCACAGACTGTTCACACTGCTGACAAAGTAATTATTTGGCTCAAACTGTGAACGTAACCATAAATAAGTTTGAGGCTTATCCTGGAGTGGTCTCAGAGAACCTGTTGCAGATGATAACTGCCTGACTCTCCACTTTTGTCTTGTAGGGGCTACTTTGGAAATGTTTGCCTTATGGTAGAAGACTAAAGTTGTTTTTTAGTTTAGATGTACTTTCATAAAAAGTAAAGGCATGAAAGGTCCTAACAAACAGGATGAGATTATTCTCAGGAAACTGAATAGAGGAAATCAGATAAAGCAGGATTTATAAGGACATTTGGGAAGCATGGAAGGATTTATCTATTCACGAGAAAAGGTTGCAGTTCTTGTCATTTCCTGACCTGATGGATAGTTTCCTAACTTGTTTTGTGAGAAAGATAATTGTTTTCTTACGGAAAATAAAGCCAAAATATTGCTGGGCTAAATAGCAGTGTCAGTTGATTTTCAGAGGCCAGAGACACCAACTTACACGTTTCCTTTGCAGTAGCTACTTATAACATCTTCTGAGTCTTTTTTGAAGTAGAACTAGAGAAAAGGGGATTGTTAGATAAAAAAGGCAGAAGGTGGGGAGTGTTGCAGAAGTGCAGAGCATTTGAGGTTGAAAGAGTTCATAGTGAAGATTCTACTCCACTGCCTTGTACAATTGTACTCTGGTAGAGTGTGTGTGTATTTATCTAGAAGAGGTATTCTTTATCTGTGGTCTAAGGGCTTCCTACATGTGATGTTCTCCAGACCTTTCACTTTTAGGTGAACTAATATAAAAAGGCCCTGCCCTTCTGAGGGCAGATGAAGATCCCTTTATGCTGCCTTCTTAGTCATCCAAACAGAGAAGATTCTTGGAAGGACCTTCTTTTCTGAAAACAGATCTCAGATCACACATGCACTAGCTGAGATTCAGATGAGGAGCTGTGAGTAGGACATACCTTCTTTTGCAATATACAACCCCACAAGCACTGATAATAAAGATCAATGAGACCAGAGAAGTAATTATTAGATCTTTTCATTTTCATTGGTCTTCTCATGTTTGTTTATGAGTAATTTACTTGCAACCACTCTGACACTCTTATTATGTAGATCTGTTTGGGTAGGGTTTGTTGGAACTCTATATCCCTGTTCTCCTGTCCCTTTAGGACAAATGCAATTCTGGGAGACACAGTGCCTTCCCCTTTCTTCACAGGCACTCAACGTTTATCCAGGAAATGAAGGAGCAAGCAGGATGGTGTGTTTGTTAGGAATAGCTAAGTGAAGGAAATAAATATGAACATGAGTCTTCTGGCCTCTAGATCAACAAATATTCTTGTCTGTCTGTCAGAGTGAATAACAAAATTTTATCTAGCCATTCTGTTCTCAGAATACATTTACTCTCAGAATACAGTGGCATACTCTGAGTCATATACGGAATTTCTGAGTCTTAGTGAAAACATTCCTTTTGTTCTCTATGTATAGTAATTTCTTATTCTAGAACACGGTTTTAAGGAGAGGTACATGTGATTAGATTTGCAAAGGCTGAGAAAGATAACAGTAATTTGTATAACCAAAATCTGAGGAGGCATGCACCAGATTAGGAATATTAAGGATATTTGTTCAGTGTTTCCTGTAAATTAGATTTACCTGCTTCAAGCAAAATGCGTACTACCTCCACCTTCCCAAATAGGGCTGCTTCATGTAGTGCACTCCCTTTTTCTGTCTAGAAAAAAAAAATATTGTGACATTTAAAATGCAAATTAAAATACCAATTAATCCTTTTGAAAATAATACATTTAGAAAATAAGTATTTCTTTTTTCTGCTCTATTTTATTTATACATAAAAAACATTGAATGGGCAAGAACAAATACTACAGTAATTTTTTTTTATTATTCAAGATAACAACATAAATGCTGTCAGTTCTACTATAAAAATTAATAACTATATAAGAAAAAATAGTAGGGATGTAATACAACTCTCAGCTAACAAGCCTGCATTTGTGTAAAACTTCTAAACTCTTATTACAGGCAATGAAAATCTAGACAATACCATCAGTGGAACATAGCTGTTCAGGAGAGTCAGCCAGTTTGCATGTGGACATCTACACTTAGGTGTTTTAATCTGAAACTGGATCACACCCTAGAAGGTCAATTCAGTTGCACTGTGAGATGCCCTAGGATATCCCACCTGGCCTCCAGCTGATGTTCCAGTTGATGCGCACACTTGATCTACATTATATCCGCCCCATACAGATGTCTTGGATACCCTGAGGCACCTCCAACAGCATTAGATGTCTATGTTTAGATCATTTAAATTCTGCCTTAGGTGTCTGTGAACCTGATTTTGGAGATTTCTGTGACACAAAATTCTTTGTGAATGGACTTTTGCTCACATAAAATTTACAGTACTGAAAAACAAACTACCTCTCTTAACAAGCTACATTTCTTAGCACTTTATACTGCTTACGGTTACCGAAAAATCTGAACAGAATGCCTTTGCATACAATAGCATTAGCACTGCTAAAGCACTACTAGGTCTCACTGAATCTACAGCTCATCTCCCTTTTGTTTGACAGTAAATTAGATTTTGAGTGTTTTTTATTTGTGGGCAACTGTTAAAGGTTTTTGTTTTTTCTATATTTTGTCCAAATGCACCAGTGGCATGCTTGCTGTGGTGGAAAGACTTCAAAGACACGCAAAAAAATTAACTCTGAAATAAAATTGTGATTCGTTATTTATTAGCTGTATCAGAATGCACCAGTGTTACAGTGATGCAATGACAGGACATTTAGAAGCAATCTGAGATCCTGAGATGGCATATGAGCACACAGTTAGAGTACATATGTCTTACCAGTTGAGCCTGAAAACATTTTGTTTTGTCCATAATAGGAACACTCACTTATTATCTTTCTTCATACTTAGTATATGAACGTATAAAGTGCAGCATGCCCAATGTCATTTACATCCAGCACATCAGGTATACTAACAGTATCATGGAGAGAAGGAAGTCCTAATCTTTCCGTTTTCAGGAGCAATCCATATGAACATTCACAAATTTGTTCTGAACAAGGAGACTAAATATTTGGATTTACTTAGAGATGGCTTCAGAGTGCTTTATTCAAACAATATCCACAGGAGTTTTCCAGTAACTGCAATTGACTTGAACCCTGGAAAACTCTGCAATAAAATAGTGCAACCACAAAGGTACGTGCAGAGCTTAAGGTGCAGCTCATAAATTTCTGAGAATGAAAACAGTTCTCAGAAAAGTCAATGATAGCTATAGTTCTGATTACTGAAAAAGGCTTGACATCAACAATCTTGAAAAAAGGCTTTGACACAGCTTATTGCCCTCTTTGCTACTTGTGTGGATACGGCATTTCCTTTGTATTGGTCACTTACTGACATGCATAAACATCAAGACTACTGGGTGGACCTGGTACTATTAACACAGATTTCCCTTTCATCAAGGATGTAAAGTACAGCTTTGACTTCCAAAATATTTGGCTTTGGAAAGACAGGTGGTAAAATTCAAAAGCCATAATGGGGAGAAGTTTGGCACAGTAACCTGTCAGAGAACACAAAAATAGGGGCTCAATCACAATTGATCACTCACTGTTTTGAGAAAAGAATGTCTCTCTCATATTTGAACATATTCACTACAGCTGAACATATTCTGTCATATCTGAACATGCACCATCAATGTGTCCTTGCAGCAAAAAAGCTAACGGTATTCTGGGCTGCACTAGGACTGTTGCCAGCAGGTTGAGCGGGGTGACCTTCCCTTCTGTTCACCACCAGTGAGGCCACTCCTGGAGTACTCTGGCCAGCTCCGGGCTCCCCAGTACAACACTGGAGAGAGTCACTAGGATAATAAAGAGACTGGAGCATCTCTCCCACGAGGAAAGGCTGAGAGAGCTGGGACTGCTTAGCCTAGATAAGAGAAGGCTCACTGGGATGTCATCGATGTGTACACTTATCTGAACGGATGGTGTAAAGACTGAGCCAGGCTCAGTAGTGCCCAGTGACAGAAGAGGCAATGAGGAAAACCTGAAATGCAGGAGGTTCTGTTTGAACATAAGGAAACATTTTTTGCTGTGCAGGTGACTGAGCCCTGGTACAGGCTGCCCAGGAAGGTTGCAGCATCTCAATTCTTGGAGATATTCAAAAGCTGTTTGGACATGGTCCTGGGCAACCTGTTCTAAGTGACCATCCTCGAACAGGGAAGCTGGACCAGATGACCTCCAGAGGTCCCTTCCAACCTCAACCATTCTGTGATTCTGCCAGGGATAACAATTAGTAATGTATCATCATCAACAATAATGAAATCCACAGAGGTTCAAATGTTATAGGAGGCCTGAGCACTAAATTTTAGTCCTACTGAGGATGAACTGCAGAGATGGGAACCAGCTGCACCTTGACTAAAATTGTAGAGATCATTCTTTATTAATATTAATAAGGAACCTTTTTTTTAATGGAAAAAAATGGACATACCTTAGTGACAATAGCTATCTAGAATACATTGCTCTGGCACGATCTAAGACTGAAAAAATTAATGTTCCAGCATGCTGAATCAACAGCTTTGAGGACAAGGAAGAGGATCTATCCTCAGACTCCTCAGTTAAAGCATGGAAAAGATCCTGATATGGTCATTGTCAGAACTGGCAGCAGTCCTTTCTATTGATCAAAATTCCACACGGGAGGAAAGGCAGGGAATATTTTCATTGATGAAAGCATACATCTTGGAAGAAATGGAATGAAAACTAATAAGAGAAGAGGAGATTTCCTGTAGATGTCTAAGGCAAACAACTATATCTGGGGGCAACTTGAGAGGCAGAAGATAGTTCTGTAACAATGAACTAAAGTTCTGCCATGCATAAAGAGAGTAGAGAAACTTAAGCCACTTACATACATATTTCATAGTGTTGGGAGAGGAGTCCAAAGCCAAATGCTAGTTTTTTAATTTTATACTTTCTTGCTTCTTAGTCTATTTTACTGTGATATTTCCTGTTATATCTGAACATCATCCTGAAATGCTTTTCAGGCATTCTGCACTGCCCTGAATTCTGGGGCAGTCTTTGCTCTATGACTCCAGGCTATCAGAAAATGGTAATGAATGCCACATCCCAGAAATGAGATATATAGATTACAAACAGTCTGTTTGAAAGAGGAATTTGAAAGGCACACCATATAAACAGTGGAATGATTTGTCCACTACATGGGTGACTTTCTGAGCAAGAAGGGAAGTATTTCCACAAAACTGAATGAAAATTAGTCTGGGATTGTGGATATTGAAAGCACACTTGTAAAATGCAGATGTGTAATCTTGCATGAGATGTCACGAAGACGAATGCTGACGTAAATCTTAAAAGCTCTAGGCAGGATTTCATGGTAATAGTGAATAACTAATGAGTGAATCAGTTCTCTCGACCCAAAAACCATCCAGAAGGCAGAAATGTCCTTGTTAACAGAGAGTTCAGTTACCAAACTCCATTTTCATATAGGGAAAATGCTGAGCCTCAGGATGAACAGTGCCAAGAGAAACTCGGAGGACTAGCTGAGTATGTATATCTCTTTGTAAATGTACATGTGGACTACTACTTGAAGGCAGAACTAATGTTAGAGGTGTTTTTCTGCTGCAATAGAGCATGTTACACAAATTGGAAGGATTACAAAATGTAGTTGCAAATAATTTCTATATATTATTTAAGATGTGTTAGAGTTTTTAGGTAGATCTTTTTCATTTATAACGGTGCACCTATGCACTAATATACCCTTGTTGTCTATACTACAAAAACCAAACTTAAGATTTATAGAAAAAATTCACAGCTTTACTTCCTGAAGCTTTCATTGCCTTAGATCATATTTTCCTGGCAAAGTGAACACTACCATTATATTTGAAAATTATTCCACAGTGATATTTAACATAAAAAATGCTGGTATTTTTTGATGAACACAGTGAGCTAAAGTCTGCTTGAGTTTGCATTGATGAGTTATATATTGATTCCTTGCTATAAGTTTTCTGTGTATCAAATATAGAGAACACAAACTGTGCTAAGCATGTAATAAAACAGTCCCTGCCCCAAGTCACTTACAGCTAAATACAGGTACAATGTCACAGCTGGACACACAAAGCAAGCAAGGATAGAAGAACACTGTCAGTAGGAACACCAGGAACACAAATCAACTTAGCGTACAATTTGCAGGCTCACATAAAAGCATCATGGGTTTTATCAATTAGAGATTTTTTAAACCATGTAAATACGCAAGAGCTTGTAATTCGGTCACTTGTCTAGTCCTTATTCATAGGCAGTTTACTATAGTTTGGTCTGGATTTCAGACATAATCTGAAGGACAGAATGGTAGCTTTGCAAATTGATTCACAGAATATCCTCCACACATAGTGACAGCAAAAAGGAAGGGGCATAGCTCTTTCCAGAAGAACTACAGTGATAAGCAATGGAGATTGCCATCATTACTGGAACAGACACGGAAGGCAAACAGGGATAGATGAAAGTTGGATAAGCAGAGGGGCCAAGTTTTTAAGGCATTTACAATTATAATATTACTGTTTACATGAAACACACTGAGCTGTGCCATATCTTATTTTACTGAGGGCCCAAAATCTATCACTCACCCAAAACCTGTGTATTTTTCATATGTTTCAATTTAAATGAAAACTTCAAAGCATAAAGAGATGAAGCAGAATTGTATTGCCCACTTCTAAATAATTTCAGATTGAAGGATATTGGATAGACCTGGGAAATGAATAAAATGTGTGATTAATTCAATCAAAAATTAAATGTTGTCTATTATTAGTCCAAATATTTGCTATGATTAAAAGTGCTCAGGGAGTACAGAAGAGAGACAGCATGGCTAAAGCAAACTTCCCATTTCAACAAATAAATATTTACAATTACAGAGTGAGAGCAGATAGGCTATTTTTATAATTGTCTCTCAACATTCTGAGAGCTCTTCAGTGCTGATAAGCTGAATTTATTTCATATGTATGAATGTGTACAATTTTATATACCACATGGAATTAGACTTTGTATATTGTTCATTCTCAATCAGTGATGCAGAGCAATTTAATTAATATTAAAAGAGCTGAGTTCAGTTTTAAGTAACAGGCTGATATTGTATGCTCTGCTCAGTTTAGTAAGCTGCCATTAATCACAGACAAAGAATTTTTGAGAGGTTATAGAAGCAATAAGTTAACAATATGTACGAAGCCAACTTGCCAGTATGCTAAGATGCTGAATGAAAAGGAACATATTGAAGGAGAATATGTATACTGGTGAGAAAATAAATAAATGATATTTCCTTATGGCGCATAGGACAAATACAGAAGAAACAGGATTACCTAGTGTAAAAAATAAAATAAAATAAAATTAGAAAATCCTCCCTGCCTAAGAATAGCTAAGAAAAATAAGAATAGAAATTACTTTTAAAAAAATCAGAATTAAAAAAAAAAGTCCTAGAATTTCAGTGTAGATGGCAAACAGATCACAATCACTAAAAGAATCTCTCGTTTCTTAAACAAACAAAACTGTACAAAATTTGCAGCCACTATATTTTTTAAAGACCAGTGAAAAACTTTTGACATAACTATAGATAGAAATGGCTTAGAAGAATCCACAGTAGTGCTAAAATTATCTAGAGTACATGTGAGGAATAACACATTTAATAAAAGCATTGTGTAATATTCAGCCCTCATGTAACCATGAGTTTGTAAGTTGCCATGACAGAGACTATTTTTCTTCAATTATTCTAATTCTTAAGCATCAATTCAGGCAACGGTTCAGTTTCTTTTTGACTTTTCTTCATTCATTTGCTAGAGATAGAAGAGCAATTATACATTCAGAAACAGGTATTTGAGGGTTCCATTATGTGGTGTTTTAGCATTAAAGTTTTATAAATTACTGAAGATGTAGTAATAGTAAAGAAAATCAAAATAAAATTAAATTGAAAACATAATAGTAGGCATACACAGAAGTAGGCAAACCACAGAAAAAAAGTTTCAGTTTGAAATAGTTTGAAGCAAGTAGCACTGCTAACTCAAAAGATATCACGGCTAATAAAAGTAGCAAAACAATTTTACCACATTGTTGTTTTGAAGGCATTTGAGAATATACATTTTTAATCTTAAAATATGCTAATATTTTCTGGTTTGCCTTTTTTTTTAATCTAACTTCTTTGTTTCCCACTTCACATTCTTTTCCTCAAAAGTGGAAAAGCATGACGTTGATGGAAGAATCCAGAAATAACAAAAGCATATAGAATCCAGGTGTAATCTTTCTATATAAAAGTGAATTATGTGTACAAAGGTGTTAGATTAAATGCTCCTAAACCTTAAAATGGTTCTAAAACTTAGTCAAAGTTTAGGCAAAATTGTCAAGATTTATTAAGTCACCTAATGGTAAAGAATGCCTGGATGTGACTCTAAAATAGAGCTGATTATGTTTCTTTGGCTTATCTGAAAATAGATATTAACCTGAAACAACCTTAATTCAAAGCATATTATATATACTCAGACAGCAAGAAGGCTACTTTAAATATGAAGATAAAATATACTTTAAACTCAAATACAGTGCCATCAATCAAATCAAGACAAATAATAAGACTGAGGTAAGACTTCACACATAACAGAATCAGGGCCTCTACAGTTAAAAGGTTTGGACACTTTCCACTGTAAAGAATTGGTCATCAAATTTACTTCTACTATACCTTGTATCTGCTCCCATCTATGTCTCTTTTATTTACAATTACCCCTTTTACACCACTATAAGTTACTGTGCATAGACCTAGATGGACCAAACAGCTAAAAATTTCAAGTCAGTAGCTGCAAGAGTGTATTGCTATAGAATTTTCTTTTAGTTTACACAAGTGTTTAGAAAAGCAGAAAATCAAATTTATTATTACTTAGTAATTCGGGTTTAGAATGGGATAACCCTGGCAAAATGATCTCTCAACCAAATGTTGCCTCACATTGCCATGACCATTAAGGCCAACAGATTTATCAAGTCAGCTTAGTGTCATTAAAACCAATGTTGTAAAAAAAAAATATATACACCAACATGAATGGTTTATATGATTTTTGTATCTACATGTCTCAAGACAACATTAAAATACACACTGAGCTTTGAAGACATATCTTTCTCTCGTTATCCCTTTGAACACATCATCTGGGTCTTAAAAATAAATCTGTATTATATATCACCTTGCAGCATTTCTAACAAAGTAAATGCAAGAGTATTTTAAAAGAAAAAATGTAAAAAGTTATTTGATTTGAATCATATTCTAATAATAAAAAGAAGAAAGGAGAGAAAGGAAGAAAGGAGGAAAGGAAGAAGGGAAGAAATAAATTGCACACTAACTTGGCAGCTGACATCCATTCCAGCCTCCAGAAGCACCTGTACAACAGCTTTGTGGCCATTTCGTGCAGCAAGATGCAAAGGAGTGTGTTTTCTTGTATTACAGTTCATCAGGTTTGGATATGCCTTGATGATCATTTTTACAACACGCAGACGTCCATAAAGTGCTGCCAGATCCAGAGGTGTTTCTAGTTTGTTGTTCCTTATTGTAGGGTCTGTTAGCTCTTCTAACAGAACAGCAACTACTTCTGAATGACCATATTGAGCTGCACAATGCAGTGCTGTTTCATTTTCATTGTTCTGTTAAAACAAAACAAAAGCTTCAGAAATTCATGATTAATCACACAATGGAACTGCTTGGCTTCTATAAATTGTCTCCATGAGTACACAGGCACGGCTTGCAATATAATGTATGTTAATGCATGTTAAATGCTTCAGAATGACTCCACTAAATTTTTTTCCTTTTTGGTAACAGTGTTTCTAATTCTATAATCAAGAACTTAAATCTCGAGTTTGTGGTTTTAAGAACATTGCTGTCATTTTCATCTCATGTTGTAATTTAAAATGACTCAGATGAACCTGGGAGACAGAAGAGATAGATCAATACATTCAGACAAATTAATGTTGTAGATAAACTCTTCAACTGCCTGCAACACCACACAGCATCCCAGAGACTGGAATGTGTTTCCTGATAAACTGCAAGACAGAAGCTGGAAAGTAGGAAGTGCCAGTTAGAAAGTGAGAAGTTTCCATTGGTAGACAATGGCTTGATGACTAATAAGTAGTTGAATCATTGTGCATTATTCAGACCACCACACAGTCTTTATCTACTGCATAGACCATAAATTCAGGTTAAAATATGTGCTATCACAACACTACATGGCTGCAATGATTTATCAACTACCTGTGATATGCTTTTTGTGCTCTGGTGACTTCTGATGTATCCTTTATACAGGAGTGGGCAAAGGCATTTTTTTATGTATGGTGATATAGAATCATTCTGTCATAAAATCATAGAATCATGTTAGGTTAGGATTGGAAACGACCTTCAAGATCATCGAGTTCCAACACCCCTGCCACAGGCAGGGACACCTTCCACTAGCCCAGGTTGCTCAAAGCCTCATCCAGCCTGGCCTTGAACACCTCCAGGGATGGGGCATCCACAGCTTCTCTGGGCAACCTCTTCCAGTGCCTCAACACCCTCACAGTGGTGGTGAGCTTAAAACCATTACCCCTTGTCCTCTCACTACACTCCCTGATAAAGAGTGCCTCCCCATCTCTCCTGTAGGCCCCCTTCATGTACTGGAAGGCTGCTATTAAGTCTCCTCGGAGCCTTCTCTTCTCCAGGCTGAACAACCCCAACTCCTTCAGCCTGTCCTCATAGGGGAGGTGCTCCAGCCCTCTGATTAATTTCATGGCTCTCCTCTGGACTCTCTCCAACAGGTCCAGGTCTTTTAATGTTGGGGGCCCCACATCTGAACACAGTACTCCAGGTACCCACAAATCACAAGGATAATTTATTAGAATTTCTTTTTAGATTTTCAATACTTCATGGACTCAACTGCATCGATGAACAGGCAATTGCAGTCTAATGTTGTGTACAATTACCACAACTAAGTATGAAAATCAGATAATTGCACAAGAAATGGACGATTATGATAATTTGTGCATACATTTACTGTATTTACATATCCAATGGAAATAGTTCCACAAGGAAATTAGATGTATAACTATATCCACATTCTGTAAGGTAAATAGCAAAATACACATTTACCATACAATTGTCAAACAGATATATATCTATTTCTATTTATCCAAAATCTGCTTATATTTGATTTTTTTTTCAAGCATTTCTGGATAATATATAAAGTACCTGGAATCTTCTGACAATAGGCTAATATTGTAGTTTGAAAGTATTCCAATTAAATTTTCAAAGATACATAAAACTTAAATTGGTTATGGACTTTTTCTCAAAACGTGGTGACTGGCCAAAATTTAAGCCACAGATATAAACACAAAGATACCAACCAGCACAAATCACTGCTGCTATGCAGCAAACTAAGATTTGCTTACTCTAAATAAAGAGAATCGAGCTGAATTTTCATGCAAGGGTATATTTACAGAAAAGTATATTTTAAAACAGCATGGTGCATAAAAGCATCTGTAAATCTGAACAAAATATTATTATTTTCAAATGAACATTTTTGAACATTTTTGTATGATTTGTTTCTTTGCATTTGCCAAATTAAAGCTACATTTCAGTTAACAACAAACCCAAACCAAACTGATTCAAAATTTAAAAAGAACTAGGTATAACTGAAATAAAATATAAGAACCCAAGCTGGACAAACATGATAATTAAATTACCTATACTTATACAGACAAAATAGGCATTGTGTATATTGTGATATCAGAGCTGAGAGGTACTACCTAATTAAACCTTAATAATACAACATCCTCCCCTCTCTAAAATGTAAATTAATCAACTTGATTCAGGCATAAAAGACAAAATTATTTTTAACTTTCAAAGAGAGAATTACAACTTAACTGCCCTCTAAATTTTGCTGTTTTGACAATACAATAGAGTTTTTAAGTAGGTTTTGACAGAGTCTGCCATCTTCAAACTTAGGACAGGAGGGAAGGCCTACCACATAGACACCATTGGTTCAGCATTCCCAGAGAAACCCCTAAGATGGAGGAGGCTATAACAGTATATTTCATGGACTGGAAGAAACATTATCTTCCTCTTCTCAACCCTCATGGAACTTCCTCCTTAAGGCATTTGTTTATAGAAGACATATAGTAAGAATAACAAAAAAACCCAACATATGGTCATATTTTAAGTGTTGAAGTTATGTGATTTCCTTGTTCCTCAAAATGCTGTTACTTCTGACTTGTCTTTTGTGCAGACAAAGCTAACCCAGGTGTAACTCTATTGATTCTAAGGTACTGTTTGTCCTCATATCTCTAAAATAGCCTATTATTTTGAAGAAATATTTGAAAGATATGAAAAATTATTCTTGAATAAATTAATAATAATTTAGTACTATTGCCTACATTTTCAGTCCAAAATGTAAACAGTTATTTCTGGAGTACAGAAAGATTATACACTAACGTTCATTGCAGTGAGCAGTTAACCTGCTATGGAAATACAAACATCTGCATGCAAGCTACCATTGTGTAATTATGTCTGCAAATTTGATATCCAAGAGCTAAATAATGCATCTAGTGCTGAAGAAAAAGACTAGAATGGTTTTAGAAATTTCAGATACTTTATTACTTTTTAGAAACTACAAGATAGAACCTAACACTGAATGAATCAAGAAAAAGGAACCAGAACCAAGTAAGACATACAAAATGTAAGGCTAGAAGTGAACAGTAGACGAATATTATGCAAAACTAGTATAAAACAGAAGTCCCTAATACTCATAATTAATAATATTTTAAGCAAGTAGTTATTCATATGGCCCAATGGACCTCTTTCAGAAATAAGGAAGGCATCTTATGATTCAGATTTTAACCTTTTGTAATTTTCTTCTTCATTATTTGTTACATGGGTTTCTTCAGGGGCATGGTCCTGACATTTTCTAGCCTTTCTCTGAATCTGTTCTCTTCCATATACAGCCAGAACTGAGACTTCTGTTGCTGCAAACTGAATTGTGCCTTTACAGCATTGCACCTCGTCAGTATTGCAGGCTGTATTACATCATTTAGCTACTAAGAATGCATGCCACCACAAAATGCAGAACCATCTTAAGGTCTATTCATTAGAGGACAGATTACCAAATATGTTATAAAGATAACTATTGTAGCTTGGCAGTCTGATAGTGAAGAGGTACGGGAGATATCAAGAGAATAATTGGCTCTCACAAATATCGTATAGGTCCTTGTGAAGTCACTATTAAACAGTCAGTATATTTAGGACTTCTACTACATAGTTGTGTAGTGTAGTCCTTTATCTTTGCTAAGGAAATTTCAAAGCTCCTGAAGTCCACATGAGTACTGTACAAGCAATAATAACTCTCAAGGAGTGATTTTACAGACCTTTCCAAAGAATGCACAACTCCTTTATTATCTAAGCATTTTGATGATGAACTTGAAAAGGGAGACTTCCGAAATCACTGAGCCATTTCTTTGTCACATAATCCCAAAGTCAAGTAACTGAACAAGACTTTTTTTTATTAAAAACTTTGTGCTATTGCCTCAGTTATAAAAGAAGTTAAAGAAAGATGGAACAATGGGAGAGTTTGAAAAAGTCTATCTATATACTGAATATACTCAAGAATAGTCAACTAGAGAGGAAAAAAACCATACAAAAATAAAGCATCAATGATTAAAGAATTAGAGAACAAAAATGAAAAAATAATATATGCAAGACAGAGAAAGGAATGATCTCAGCATGGTCTTACTTCATCTATTAAATCAGGAGGGCAGTTTCCTGAGAAGTTCCACCAATATAAGTTAATCATTCTGAAAAAAATAAGGAAGTTTGCCTCATTGATTCAGCAAGTAACATGTCACTCTGTTTAATTACAATGGGAATTAAAGTGCTTTCCTGGACGTCTAGGGCAAAGGCTGAATAATGTTACAACAGAAACACAGCCAGGAATGAGGAGAGCTCTTGGGAACAGCATTATGACTTCATTGTCCATTCTTTTTGAGGAAGGAAATGGATTTTTACATGGTGCACAGATTTTTACAGTTTATGTGGAAAAATTTGTATGAGAAATACTGTGGCCAGCAGGACTAGGGAAGTGATTATGTCCCCGTACTCAGCACTGGTGAGGCCGCACCTTGAATACTGTGTTCAGTTTTGGGGCCCTCACCACAAGAAGGACATTGAGGTGCTGGAGCAGGTCCAGAGAACAGCAACGAAGCTGGTGAAGGGTCTGGAGCACAGGTCTTATGAGGAGCAGCTGAGGGAGCTGGGGTTGTTTAGTCTAGAGAAGAGGAGGCTGAGAGGAGACCTCATCACTCTCTACAGCTACCTAAAAGGAGGTTGTAGTGAGGTGGGTGCTGGCCACTTCTCTAAAGTAACAAGTGATAGGACAAGAGGAAATGGCCTCAAGTTGCACCAGGGGAGGTTTAGGCTAGACATTAGAAAAAATTTCTTCACTGAAAGAGTGATCAGGCATTGGAACAGGCTGCCCACGGAAGTGGCTGAGTCAACATCCCTGGAGATGTTCAAGAAACGTGTAGATATGGTGCTTAGGGACATGGTTTAGTGGGTTAGGTGGTGTTGGTATTGACAGTTGGACTTGATGATCCTTGAGGTCTTTTTCCAACCTTAATTATTCTAA